ATGGGTTAACTTTTTAGTTATCAAAAAAAATGTCAAACAGATTGAAATTAAAATAGCTAGTAAATAGCAATAGTAGGTAAAAGACTTGAAGCGCTCATTTTTTTGCATAACAAAAGTTGCGACTAACGTTTCGCAAAATTTCTACACAACAGGCGAGCAATTCATTTCGAAAGAAAAAGCTTTGTGCAGTGTGATAAGAAGAAATCGATCCCGAAATCATTTTTCTTTGTGATCATTTTTTCAAACGAAATAAATACGGAATAAAACTTTTATATCGTGAATATTTTACGGAGGACATGCACTTTTTGTAAGACAGAAAAAAGAGGCAACATCCAGCTAAATTGTTTATAATTCTTTAAGTATATGAAAGTCAATTAGGGCTGAACGAAAAAGCCAAAGCCAATTGAAAAGTCATGACCTTCAGTTGGCTTTTGGCCTGAAATATTAAATTTATTAAGGATTATAGACCTCAAAAGCTTGGCTTTGATATTTATTTTGATAATGAAATGAAGGGGTAAGGACTTAGGACTTAACCTAATAAAATCAAAAAGTAAAATTATTTCTTTGTTATACACTGATATTTTTTTGAATTACTTGCAAATACAGGCATATCGATAAATGAAATGATAAGCAAGGCGTATGGTTGACTGAGCGAACAGCGAGCAATGAACTACTGACCATATGTAGCTAATATATGCTGTAGATACAACGCCACGATATTTGAGCTCAAAGTTAGACTGCCAATGGCAAAAGGCGCGGGGTGTGTATCAAATGTCCCACAATCGGGCAAAAATGAACTCATAGTCAATCTCTCTATTATCTCGAGGTTAAGGGACTACTTTCCTGGTAGTACTTTCCTCTTTTGAGTCTTGTGAAATCAACTGCAATTAATGGAGTAACACATAGAGAGAAATTTGCTTAGCACTAAGACTGCCAAGAAGAAATTTGTTACCAGTAGCTATTACTGGTAACAAAACCTACCTAAACAAAGACCTAAACAAATAAATGGTCAAACACGAAGATGATAATTGATTGATTAGTAATATTGTTAGTTGTTATTGTTAGTAGAAGAGTTTTAACGTTTAGCATACCGCAAACGCAAAACGTACCACAAAATGAGCTACTCCTCACTTTCAGCATCAGGCCGTACTCTATGCTAGAGTGCAAAAGCCACTCCGCCCCTCTCCCCCGGCGGGTGGGGTGGAGTAAGTTTTTTGCAGAAAGCATCTCGATTAGTCAAGCAACTTTCATTATTAAGACAAAGTTTAAAAATTTGTGAAAGGGAGTCGCCCAGACCGCCCCGCCTAAACGACGAACTATTGAGTTGTCCAGTTATGAATGCGCGTTTTTACTATTTTGTAAATTTCTCAAGATATCGAACAAATGTATATGAGTGTTATATATCATTCGAAAGCTGAAGATCTCCTCTACATTTTGGAATAAAAAAGTTTTTGAATTCGTTCAACTTTTTGGGGAAATTGACTGCACAAAGGGAGAGGTCGTTTTCGAAAAAACCCATTCCAGCTTAGCTATTCCTCAAGTTTTATGGTGTAAAATAATCGCCCAGAAAAGAAAAGAAAAGTAAAGATGCTCTGAAATTGTTATATTTTTAAAAAAGTTGTATTGATATATCTATTGGCCAAACATCAAACGGTTAACTCAATTTGAGCGGAGCCAAAACTTGACCCAAAGGCACCCTTCCATTTTTTGGCCACCTCTTCTTCTGTGCAGTCAATTTGCCCAAAAGCTGGACAAATTCAAAAACTTTTTATATCAAAATGTAGAGGAGATCTTCAGCTTTCGAATAATACTCATATATATCTTTTTCTTGATTTCGATATCTTGAGAAATTTACAAAATAGTAAAAAACGCGCATTCATAACTGGACAACCCAATATTACTGGAGGGTGTTAACAATTCTCGTTTGTAACAAAACAAAAATCTCCATTTATTTTTCCAGAAGTCTTGCTAACTCAGCAAGAGTCGGATCAAGAGGAAGAGAATCCACAAAATGCGAGTTTATCAAAGAAAGTTGGTGGATGCAAATGCCAAAACAAACACCTCAATGGTTTTTCTAAAGTGTTATGCAAAGAAAAAGAAGGTATATCAAAAGTAGAAAATACCAAAAGACCACAAATTTACAGCAAAGAAAATTTTTGACCATTTCTTTTCAACAAAAAAGACAAATGATGGTATTACAAATCGAATCTGCCGGGACTGTGGCGACAAGTGGTATTTGTTATAAAGTATTTGTTTCATTAGTTTTTTTAAATGATATTTAAATATTCTACAAACTCTGGTCAATGCAATTGTTGATATTCGACCCGCCTTGAGGAGAAGCATTGTAAATCTGTTCAAGTATTTCTTGAGAAACGACCTACTCTGCCAAGTATTCAAAAACTTGTTTCAAAGAGGTTCTTTTGTTTTAGAAATTCCAGTCACCTCCAATAAGTTTGTTTATAACTCTTTTCCAATAAGAACTGCCAGAATTTGGAATCGACTCCCCAGAGTTTTGAGAGAGTCCAATAGTCTCGAAACCTTTAAATTATCTGTAGATGATCTTGATCTTGAAGCTCTAGTGGATCCTTGACGTTATCTGTGCTACCCATATATTACATATATTATGCTTTTTATCGGCCCTTTTCGTGTTATGTGTATGAATTCATGTGTTTTAATCTTAAATCTAGCGCACTTTATCTCAGGTCCTGAATAAAGTATCTATATATGTTATGTTCGATTTAGACTCAATCTAAATCGGACGTCCGTTTTCCTCATCACTTCAATGCAAAAGGATGATTTCAAAACCTCATCACTTCAATGCCAAACCGCATTTTTCAAGAAACTAATCGTTCTCTGTAATTCTTTTGAAAACTAGTCATTTTTAGAAATACCGGTGAGAATATCAAAAGAAAAGCAAGAAAACGGAATAAGTTCAAAGCAATTGGCTGATTCATGAGAAAGAGAAAGTTTTGGTGAATGAAAAACAAGAGTAAAACTTGTTATGAAGCTAGCGGGATGGTGAAACGCTTGATCGCCACGAAACCCTTGATAAGAAGACTTTTATCGACTCTTTCAACGAAATGAGCATTTACCTTGCGCCACGAATTTCTGTGCCTTTCAAAACCTGTTTACCTATCAGCTAGAGATCGTCATTTTCTTCAATCTTTGATACAATTTTTTACAGAAGAAAATCTTTCTTTAATAATCGTGAATCATTTGGGGAGAATTTCAAACTCAGAAAATGAGTTTGTTTGTCTAAAAAGCAGTGACTTTACAAACCTTTTCAAAAAGCAGTGACCTGATTTTTTTTGGTGATTGTTTTCGTTTAAATGTTGTAGCACTTTTGAAAATAAGAATCCCTTGAATAGGAAAGAAAAATGTCACAAAAAGTCGCACAAGAATGCGCCTTCTGGGATTCTTCTTGTTCGGGATAAGTTTTGTGACCATTGCACATGGGCTTCAGAACGAATTTGGCGATAAAGAAGAGGTAACAATAGGTGAAAGTAAGTGTCATTTACAATAGGAAAGAAGATTTTTCTCAAAACTAGAGCTTTTATTTCGGGAAATCTCAATCGTAGCCAGTGAAACTGACCGGAAACTCGGTAACAGGGTATTATCTGGTGTAGACTGTGTTCCTCTCAAGCAATTTTATTTGAATAATAATAATACTGTATATATGTCGTAGCCGTTTACGAAATTCAGCCGCCAACGAATCATTCGTTAACGGCTAGCCGTTTACGAATGAAAGTTTTCGCTAGCCGTTTACGAATGATTCGTAATCGGCTAGCTGCTAACGAATCATTCGTATCATACGAAAAAGGAGTTGTTGTGAAGCCGATCATAACGAAGGAGCAAAATGAACTCTGCCAAGTCGACTTAATTGATCTTCAATCGGTTCCGCGTGCATTTTAGTTGATGTTTTGTTTGTTATAGACGTTATTATGTTATACATGTAATATTATAAATTTTATTTCACTTGTTGTGATTAGTTGATTAGTTTGCGTTTTGCATAAATAGCTTGAAATCAAAAACTCATTTGAATCGAGCCATGTTCGCAGAAGGCGATTACAAATTGTACACGGCTAGCGAAAAAAATTTCATACGTAATCGGCTAGCCGCTAACGAATCATTCGTTAGCGGCTGAATTTCGTAAACGGCTACGACATATATACTTTATTCAAAAATAAAGTGAACCATATAATTGAAAAAAAAACACAAGAGTCCAGACATAGACATCAGCATAAACGCAAAATATAGCTCACATGAGGGGAGAGAAAGTTTAAATGCATTTAAGGATGGAAATTCACGAACGGAAGAAGGTAGCGAGTTTCACAGTCTGACAACCCGATTAGAAAAGAAGTTAAAGGCTATTTTAGAGGTTCCCGGAAAAGAACGTAAAGCGGATTTAGCACTCCTAGATGCCGATCGCGATGAATGTAGAGCAAGGAAATTTTTTTAAAAGCAGATTTGGATGAATCCCTTTTACAATTTTGAAGCATTCTACTAAATCAATGATAAGAGATTCAAGATCAAAAAGCTTTAGCCGGTGTTTGTACCGGAGATTTGAATATTTCTTAAAGAGAGCAATTCTAGTAAAGTGTTTCTGCACATTTTCAACCTTTTTGGTAAGTTTTTTGGAGCTAGGGGACCAAACCAAGGAAGCAGATTCAAGAATTGGGTGGAGGTAAGTCATGAAACACTTTCTATACGTATCGATATATGGAATAGTGATAGCTCTAAGTATACGATTTAAACAAAAGGACGCTTTTCTACATATAATGTCTAGCAAAATTTAAAGGAGGAGAGATGTGAACGCCAAGGTCGCCAATGAAATCTGATTTAGAAGAGTGCTTGATAACCTTATTTTTTTATTCTAAAAGGAAACGAATACGCTTTCTAAAACGCGCTCAATTTTTTCTCAAAGTCTCAAGCTTTTCAGACAGCTTCGCATTTTCAGGAAAAAACAGTATTTTATTAAATTTCAGGTCAATCATCCCCGAATGAAACGCTGCTGGATGCCCGGTGGATTTTATTATGCTTTGAGCGAAGGCGGTTTGGATTACCTTCGATGCAAATGCCGAAATGAAAGAGCCGTAAAGATCAACACTCAAACACCAGCAGTAATGAAACACCATACAATAGTAAGCAATCGAGAACTGCAGCTGGTAAGGGAATTTTGGATTCACTAATCTAATCTAACCAGATTTACTCATACATGAACACGTTTTTTAATGTTTAAAACAAGCTCTTAGATATCTAAATAAAGCATTAAACTTTCTCTTGTAAAACCTAGATGACTCAAGCACCTCAAGCAAAAATAATCTCTCTTGAATTTTTCTCCTCCTCAGCTTAAAAAAAAGAGAAACGCTTTTTGCTGATAACGTATAACGGGATGTGTCGCCAGAAGCTTTTCTTTCTTTCAAAAAAAGCTCGACTCGAAAATAATATTTCTAACTACTTATGTAGTAAATTGCTTTTATCTGTTGCATTTTTTGAAGAATTTCTTTCTTTTTTCATGATTTTGATTAGAGTTTTCAGAAAGTCAAACAGTTTCAATGTCAACGAATCCGCCTGCCCATCGTGATGAAGAAATTCCTTTACTTGAAATTGTGATCGTTCCTTCGACAGGTAACCTTCAATAAATGAGTAGTTTTTCCTCTTAAAAAACAATTATGCAAGAAAATATTTAAAGAACTAGTTTACGGTAGGTGATACTTACATATCACTAAATTTCATGAAGTTTTGTCTTATGTTCTCATCGTATGCGGTTCAGCAAGTGCATCCTTATTGTTGGAAATTTGTTGTAAAATCAGCTCACTTTTTATTCCGTAAACGATTTAGCCAGTCAATACAATATAACAATTGAATTTTAATCAGTCAAATATTCGCAGATGAGAAGATGAGGAAGGGGTACCGCCGGGGATCGGGGAATAACAATGGGATTTGAGTAAAACAGCTTGGTCTAAAATAGCTAAAATAGCCCTGGCCTAGCAAGCCAATTGTTGGCTTTTGGCTTGGATTTTCTTTAAAGTCAAAAGCCAACAATTGGTTTGTTTGGACGGGAAAATCGGCTCTTCGTCTACACCTGCTCAACATGATTTTAGTGGGAAACCACGATGATCTACTGAAGTTAATTACCGAATTGAAGAAGCGCGACGGGTATTCAACTTGTAGCTTTGATTTTCCGTAAAAATCAATCTCAGAAATATTGACGAATTGTCCGATCGCTTTGTCTCTGCAGTAGAAGCTCACATAAAATGTGGTCGCGAGCTCGATGTGAGTCTATAAACATACAATATCTGAGTTCTATCTTCATTTTCTAGCAAAAAAATTCTTGCTTAGTTTTCTCATAAACTTTTAGATAAGTGTCTTTTTGGATAACAGAGAAACAATGCAAGTAGCTGACCGCAACGGGGACACGTTTTTGCACGTGATGCTACGATATTGCGAAGAGGAAGTGATTCAGAGATTTTTTCACCTCGACTCAATCCTGGGCACTAGTTAGTTTTGTTGTAGGTTACGTTCAGAAATTTCCGTCCAATAAAAAAAATCAATAAATTTAGACCCAAAAAACTATGTGTCAAATATCACCGAAGTCCATAACTGCATCAACGCACGGAACTCGATGAAGGCAATGACGCCTTTGCGTTTAGCAGTCAGAAGGGGATTTTGGGGCACTTTCCAGAGGTTTTTCAATTCAGACATTGGCTTGTGTTATTGAAAACTCTAGCATGTTGAATATTATCTGTTGGATGGACATCGATCCGAAAACGAATATTCCATATGACGCTGAAAAAAAAAGATGTGCTGATGTTGTGGAAATAACGCTGAAGCACGTAGAAAGGACTTTGTTTAAAACTGGAAAACGTTTAGCAATAACCCTGAGATTCTTCACGATGCAGCTGCTAATGGAAATGATACGAAAAAGATTGAAATTGTTCGAAAACTGATCGAGGTGAGCAACCCCAACATAAACCTTGACTAACTACAGGGTGTCTGGTAAAAAAGTCCCATTGATTTTGAATTTAGTTCGGATTTTCTGTTGAAAAGGAAAATGACAAAGGGCAAATCCCGCTTCACATTGCCGCCAAGTGCAACAACGTGCACATCGTCGAGGAATTGCTCATGAAGCACTGCAGGATTTATGACGTAACGTTTGAGAGTTCACAGGCATAAGCAAATATTAGAGTACAATTTTAATGCTAAAAAGGAAGCACACTTATCAATAAGCCCAAGGTTAACAACTTTACGTTACTTTTCTTTCAAAATTATTGCCTTTTGCGTTGTTGCTTGCCTAGAAACATCTGTGGAAAGCGCCAACTTTTGTGGATAAATTGAGTTTTTCACAAACTCTCGTTAAGCTTTCTTAGAAGAATCAAAACCGAAATGTGATTCTAACATTTTTAATGTCTCGTAGATTCGAAAACTGTTAAATATTGGATTGGTGAATTGAAAACCGCGGGCTATTGTCATATGTGACAGTTTGAGCACTTTCCTCAAAAGAAACCCATTTTGGTGTCAATGGAAAAGTTTTAGAGAATCAAAAATGAAACTTATATCCAAATTTTCAGAACGATTCAAAAACTGGTTTTCAAGAAATGCGAAATTTACGAATTTTCACAAAGCTTGCATTTTAAGCGAAACTACTAAGTGTATCTTTTTGGAAATTTGGCTATAAGCCTAATTTTTGATTCTCTACAACTTTTCCATTCACACCAAAATGAGTTTCTCGAGGAATTGCTCATGAAGCACTGCAGGATTTATGACGTAACGTTTGAGAGCTCACAGACATAAACAAATGGAAAGTGATGCCAGTAGAAATTGGTTAAAGGTATTCAATTGATTTCTACAGTTTTATACTTGGCACTATTATTTGTTTGGTACTCATTCCTAGGTAAGTTTAGGATGGAAGATCTACTTCTTCCGACCTCGCAACTTGCAGTCAGACTGGCGACCTGGCGTTTCATTTGCCGACGATTTCGGTTTATTTCGCGGTAAGCCGATATGTGGGTTTTTATGTAAACCAATCTGGATTCAGAAGATGGATCCTGTTTCAAAAGCCAAATCAATTACGAAGAAAGACCAACGCGGAATGACACCATTGCTCTACACGGCTTGTAGTGGAGCTTGGGAAGCAGCTAAAGTTGTTTTCTCCTTTATTTACCATGCCTTTATTTATCATCAGTTGATTGGACTGTACTATGTTTTCTAGACTTTGATTTGGTGTCTAAAAGAAGTGCAAGCATCGAAGCTCTATTTCGATGAAAATAATGATGGAGAGAATTTGATTATCATCGCCGCGAAGAACAGCCATTCCGACTACCTTGATGTATGTGTTTTTGAAAGTCTTTTTTTAATGATTCCGTTTAGAAACTCATCACTCTTATGGAAAAAGAAAAGATTCTAGACCAGACGTTCTTGCTCAAGTGAAACTTCAAGAGACAAGAATTAGCAAAAGTGCTTCTTTTTAGATCATCCAGCACAGATCATACGACGGCCCTACACAGTGTGGTTGAGCACGGATCACTCACGGCGACAAAGGTGCTTTCATTTTAATTTTTTGAGTAAATATTTGTCTCATAGTTGTTGAGAGAATATTTGTTTCACAAGAATTGTTTTCAAAACGAATTCCAGAGACTTATCCAAGAAAAAGTACCCATTGACTCTTTGGATGGCAAAAAGCAGACTCCACTTCACGTTGCTGCAAAAATCGGACATACACATGTGGTTTGTAGACACGAAATTTCTGTGTTGAAACGTTTGTAGGTCGAATACTTCATGCGGTTACCAGACATTGTGCCGATTATCAATTACAAGGATAATCGTCTGGAGACCCCTTTGCATCTTGCCGCTCAATTCGGTTTGTTTTTGGGCTAAAAACTCAACAAACTCGTTAGTCAACCATAAGACTTGTACTTACATGAAGCTTTTCAGGCTTTGATAAAATCGTTCAAATGTTACTGAGAAGTGGAGCTGACCCGAACATCGACAATGTCGACCGAGAGACGCCGTTCATTGTCGCCGTGACGGTAGTGTTCAATTTCAACTTGATCGTTCTGAATTCCTTTCAGAACGGCCACTTGGAATGCGTGAAAATCTTATTGGAACCCTCAGAAATCAATAAAGAGAAAGAGCAGTTATAAAGAAGGAAATTTTAAAAACGATGACTTTTTAGTGGAACTCCGCTGCATTATGCAGCAAAATATGGGCACGTGTATGTGGTGCAGTACCTGCTTCGACAGGGAGCCAAAGCTGGTTGGTGAACTTCAAATCTTTCAAAGTTGAATTTATTTTATCCAGATCCAAAAACCCTCCTTTTAGAGATTCGGGATAAGCAATCGCGAACAGCGCTGGACATAGCCATCGACGAAAACAACGAGTAACCAAACTAAATATTTACCAAAAAATGGCTTTTGATAGCAAATTGAAACTTTCAGGAGTGTCGGTAAAGAGCTTTTGTCCGAGAAAAAAAACAAAGAGTGGATGGAATTGTTATTCGACGACAAACAACGAAACCAAAAATCGACAGTAGTTTTGAGAAAAAAAAACACAAAAAAGCTGTATTCTTGAGGAACCATACGTTACTCCAATGCGAAGATTGATTGAAAAGTTTCCGCAATTAGCCGAGTTGGTGATGGAGCAATGCAAGAGGTGGGGGGCAATGAGTTAAAGTGTCCACTTAAAAAAATTGAAGCTTTAGTGAAGATGAAAAAAATAAAGAGATTACTTATGATTTCCAACTCATTGACGATCCTTTCTTGTTGCCTGGTAAAGAAAAAAAAGGTTCTGGGTTTCTTTCAAGGCAAATCAGATCAAATGGGTTGATTACAGATGAGCTGGTAGCAAAGAATGAGAAGGGAAGGGCGATAATGACAAATGGATCTGTGCAGTCGGATGCGCAGCTGTACAGCAACAATGGATCGCTGATCTACAGAGATCATCCGATAATGCTTATGGTTCGTTTTTCTTTCAAAACCAGGTTCTGCGGAAATTGTTTATCGGATGCACTGTAAAGGGAAATTTTAGGCAAACTCCGAAAATCCGGAAACCAGGGCGTTGCTTGCACATCCGCTAGTTGTGAAACTTCTCGAGAAACGCTGGAGCGAGTTCGGACTCTTTTTCTCTTTATGGCTATGTTGGTAGCAACACTAAACTCTCTATTTGGATCTACTTTTAGCCATTCTGCCATATTTCATTTTCTTGCTTTCTTTTATGATCATCTTACTGAGCAATGAAAAATGTTCTTCTGTGCAAACGACGCCCCAACACTACACAGCAACGATTAAATTTTCTCTCGAAGAGAAGTTCTCTCTGACTGAGAGATCCGAATGCACGCTTGACGGTAAGGATGTTTGTAAAGAGTTTTGAGAAAATGAAATTTCGATCTCACGGAGAGGCTACTCAATGGTGATAACGCTTCGTCCAGCACCGCACAATTGGATGAGTGCAACGCCGATTTGTTGATTTGGACAACGGTTGATAGTTTTTGACGCATAAAAAGTTTCTTTTTACCCAGATAAAATTTTCAGACTTGGCTCTGTTGCTTTGGGATAGCGTTGTTTGTACTCTCATTAAAAGAGGTTTGGAATAACTTTGAAGTACAGCAAACCCCCAAATTCAGGCTATCCAAGGGTGGTTTTTCGGTGTCTCGGCCTACATTAAAAGCGGTAGGTGGAATCTTTGGCATTCATTTTTAAAAATCGAATGAACTGAAAAACTTTGTGACTAGAGTTAGGCTTGTGAAAGAGGAACGAAAACTTTCAGGCAATAACCAGTTAGAAATACTGATTTACATTCTTTGTCCAATCACGATCTTCTTTCAACCATCCATTGTAAGTTTTTGTTGTTCAAAGAAAAAAAAAGTGATCATTTTAAGGATACTAGCCCAGATAAGAAACAAATTTTCTGGATTTTCTCTTGTTTCGTTGTGATGCTTTCATCGATCAATCTGGTAGAAATCTTCCTCTGAGGAGTTTTTATGCAAAACTTAGCTGATATTAATCAGCACATTGAAAAACTTGGGAATTTTTCTTCGAATGCTCGTGAAAGTCTCGCATACGGTCTTCAAATTGACGCCAATGTTTTGCTTCTTGGTCGCCGCCTTCGCATCGAGTTTCATTCTTTTGCTGCAAGATGAGGTATTCTAATTTTTCATGTTTTTTTTTAAAATGGCAACCTATGGTATTTACCGAGTTCACCTAGTAGTAGACATTGGTTTGACCAAACCATTTCTAGTTATTTTCGCTTTAATCTAGCTGTTCTTTTACGTTTTTCCTGAACAGATAACTACACTGATTAATGACATTTTTTGGATCTCTAAAAGGAAAGTAGTTCCACATGTAGTTGTGAAATCAGCATAAGTTAGGGGCAAAATTATACTTAGTCTCTTAAAATGTGTAGTTTGCCTTTTTCAATTTGTAAAATAAAGATTTAAACAAAACTTTTCAGAAAGGATTTGTTAGCTTTTCGCATTCCTTTTTGACGACACTCGTTATGTCAACCGGGGAGATCAATTACTTGGAAGTCTTCCATGCAGACGAAACTAGCGACAAGTTTGTAGATGGCTAGCAAAAACGAGAGAAATCCTTTAGATTCTGGATGAAAGTCGCCGCCAGATATCTTCTCGTTCTTTTCATTGCTGTTGTGGTGATTATGGCCATAAATGTGCTAACCGGTTTGGCTGTCGATGATATTCAGGGGATACAAAGACTAGCCGGCATCGAGGGGATCGCCATCGAGGTCAATTTTTGGCAACAGTTCAAAGCTTTAATACAGGGTGCGCCATAATTGTCGCAAAAAGGTATCACACGCGTTCAAGGACAATAACTCGTTGATTTAAGCTTCATTTCTATTTTTTTTTGTGTTTTTATTATATTTGGAATCTAATCTAACTTTTTAATATAAAATATGTTGTTTTTAGAATGGCTGGAAAATTCCCCATCGACAATCGACCATCGAATTGCACAAGTGAGGAGTCTCGGCGCCGGAGATTCATAAGCGTCTTAAAGTTGACAGAAATGTCATCATCCGCGCTATTCTACACTACAAAGCTACGGGAACAATTTCTGATGCACCAAGAAGCGGTAGACGCCCAACTCTCGTTACAAAGACAGACATCAAGCAAGTGAGGGGCCGAATTCGGAAGAAGCCAAACCAATCGGCAAGGCAAATGGCAAAGAAGATGGCGATTTCAAGCACCTCGTTGCGTCGGATCCTCAAAAATAAGCTCCAACTTACTGCCTACAAGAAAAACAATGCTCAGCTTCTTTCAAATGCTTCATCACTTTTGTTTCATCGACAAAAATCACGTTGGCCTAATCCTGCTTTGTCCAACTTTGGTACAACTTCACACAAAAGTTGACTTATGGTTCTACATACGAAAAGTTTGGAGCTCAATTCGTCCAGCAATTCTTTACGAATTAGTCGACTCAGTGCCTAAACGACTTAATGAAGTGATTTTGGCAAAAGCTGGACCGATTGAATATTAATTTTTGATTTTTCTGTATAATGTTGCAAGACTTTTGCACCCAGTTTTTCGGGTATTTTTTAGTAGTTTTGTCATTTACTTTTTTGTTTTACGCTGAACTTCAAATTTGCTTTTGTAAATAAAGTGTACATGTATTATTCTAATCAAAAACAAAAAAGCACTACGAACGGGTGGCATTTTCTATAAAAAAAATTTCATCGATTTTTTTGAAAAAGTGATGTTGCAAGACTTTTGCTCGGTACTGTAGATAAAAACAGGAAGTTTATTTAAGCAGCAGACTTACAACAGCCACAAACAAGCCATTTCAGCTAATGTTTATTGAAAGCGTCTATTCCAGGCCGAGTTCATTCTTCATGTCCAGGCGTTCTTGAGCGAGAGGGTTTTGAAGCAGCTGAAGTATAATTTGGTCGAAAAACAGCTTCCGAAAAGCTCTAGCATTTTTCCCATTTGGGTGATTTGGTTGTGGAAACACTTCATATCTGCTTTAGCAGCGCTTAAATTTGTGTGAGCCTCCAAATTTGCAAAAAAAATAGACGGAAAATTTTCAGTGGTACGCTTTGTAGATGTTGCGGCAACAGTGGCTTCGAAAAAAAAGTGAAAAATTTCGTTGATAAAAACGAAATGAATTTTTTAGGAAGAAGCAGCCACAAATCCGAAGAGAGGTCCAGATACTGAAAATGTCGAGGAAAGAAGCAAAATGGTGAAAAGGATTAATGAGAACTTTGAAGTAATTTATTCCTTTTAGAATTTTATTTAACGCTAATTTTTAGCAAGAAAATTTGGCATCCTTGAGCACCGAACAACTTCTCATTTTGAATCTGCGCAGTTTCCATGCGCTCCAAAAGGAGACGGTTTGCTTGATTATGGGAAAATTTTTAGGAAACTTTAGGAAATGATCATCGAAAGGTTAAATCAGCAGGAAACGGTTGGAAAAGGAAGCAGTTTTTTCGAAATTTTCTTTTTAGGCCATGACATTACAATATAGTTCCATTAAAAAGTTGTTGAAAGCTGTGCTAGCAGAGGAAGAGCAAGATGCATCACAATCTCCTGCAGACACCATTCAAAGCCAACCGGATCTGCTTGTTCAACCCGAATCAGGGCCTGTCGAAAGATATGGACCAACGATTAAAGTAGGCGAAAAACAAAATTGTTCAAACTATTTGACATTTTTTTAATAGGATGCGTTTTAGCCACCGTAAAATCTAAAATCTATGAAACTTTTTAGGATGATCACGGCGCTGAGGCTGCTAGTCGTAATCAACACGAGGTAACTTTTTGTTTTTTTTTTTACTTTTTACCACGGGTCAATTTTAGGAGGACGAAAAAATTATTGGATTGGATGCTCCTCCAGTTGTATTCGATCAACCTTGCGAGAGTGGAGAAAAGTCCCCCACGGATTTATTTATAAACAAGCAAACTGGAAGCGAAATAGTACCGAAATTTGTTGGAAAGACAAAACTTTAGAAAAGTATCATTTCAATAAACATTCGCAATAACTACTTTAAACTTTATGGATCAAGTTTTTTTAAAGTCAAGCTAGATAGCGTTGAGTTTCATGCAAATCGCCTCACTTCACCTTTTGTTCTTTGTTTTCAAAATGCTCATAAAAAGAGTGCTTTTGCAATTTTTTTGCTTGAAATAAAGTGCGATCTCTTTGAGTAATTTTCACAAACTGCGTTTGTTGTGAGTTCTCCATCGAAGGCCAAGTTTGAGGTTGCTCAATAACCTATTGTAAAGAAAAAAATCGAAAAAAGAATCTTTTTTGAGTTTTCTAGCTTCAATTTTCATGACGCGACGTTAGTCAGTTTGATAAAAAATTATTGGAACTATTGGAATTTCTGTTTGTTCTTCATCCAATAAACGACTAATCAATCAAGGAAAACAAACGGTGCAAGCAGAGAAAAGCAAAGCGACTGGTAGACGAAGAGCAAGGTGCTCAAAACGGCCAAAGAAAAAGCCAGTACAAATACTGATGCTTGCACAAATGTGCAAGCAACGCCTTGGTTTCCGGATTTTCGGAGTTTGCCTAAAATTTCCCTTTACAGTGTATCCGATAAACAATTTCCGCAGAGCCTGGTTTTGAAAGAAAAACTAACCATAAGCATTATCGGATGATCTGTTTTTGAAAGTCTTTTTTTAACGATTCCGTTTAGAAACTCATCACTCGCATGGAAAAAGAAAATATTCTAGACCAGACGTTCTTGAGCAAGTGAAACTTCAAGAGACAAGAATTAGCAAAAGCGCTAATCCTGAAAATAGTTTATCCAACCATATACTCTGGTCCTTTAACTAACCGCAATGATTTATCCTTTTTAGGATCTGGCGCCAAAAAACATAGGAATGAATCAACAATTTTTTGTGATATTGGGATTTTGGGATTTCCGGGTTTTCGTACATAAAGTCTTTTTATCTAAAGTTTTTAAGGCATGAAAAAGCGAACAGACGAGACGTCACTTTACTCTCGCAAACACCACTAAACTATCAACCACTTGAAGTGATCTTGGAAATCGGATACGATTGCAAGGGTGTTTACTCGAATTTTTCAACAATACCTCAACCGAATATACAAATTAGAGGGTTCGCCAAAAATTCTGCTACCTTCTTGCCAAACGCAACCCATCCCACGCAAAATCAAACTAAATTTACGTAAAAACAAACAAGAAAAACAATTTAAGATATTTAACAACAACACAAGTCAAAAAAGAATTACATTAAATGCTCAAAATGTTCTCCATTTGCTTCCATACATTTGCTGAGACGGTTTCGAACTATGGTCGCGCACTTGGTCACCAAAATTTTTCTCCAAGGCCATTCCAAGCGACTTTGAGCTGGCCAACTGCTGTGAATCTGATACGGGAGATACGACTCTTAGCTCTTACCGCACTTAGCACTTTCGATTTGCCATATCCAGTGATCTGTGATTATCTCAGATAACCACTTCCCCATTTTTGTGCAGCTCGATGATCGTTATCCGTTCATTGTCGACCTTCATCATCTAATCACGCCTTTTGCATGTGTAAAATTTGTTTAATTTGTTAAAAGCAATAAAAAAACATTAAAAAAAACACATAACCTTATTTCAAAATATAAAACGGCTAAGATATAGGTGATGCAATAAAGGTAGCAGAAGGTAGACTTTTGGCGGACCCTATAACAAGTTAACTTAAGCAAAATGATCAATTAAATTAAAGTTCTAGGTAAAAACGATATCGTTTTTAATGTTCTTTGCTTTTAGTTGACGTATGGGCAGCAGGTTTGGTGGCCGTCGAAATGTTGGGCAAAAAGTTGATGCTTCCAATTAACGAAAGCACAGTCACTTCATCGGAAGAAAACAGAAAATCCGACTCACTGACTCCAAAGCAAAAGGCGCAGATGGTCAAGGAAAGAATCCTCAACGTGGTCGGTCTTCCCACAGATCGCTACAAATCCATGTAAGAAATGTTGAACGAAAAAGTTGTACTTTCCTTGTTGTAAAAAGTTCAAACAAAAAACTTTAGGTACAATGGGAATAAACTAATAAACCCCACGAAAATTAGCATTTAAACAATTAACACAAAGTTTTTAACGACTTTTGTGTGATCATTATCTATTACTTACTCTATAATTCTATCAAATTATTTTCTTTCTAACATCAAAAAATTGTGTGGTTTATTTCCATCGAGTTATAATTTGTCAAATGTAATTTTTAAAATCCAAATTTTAGCGGAGGTTTATTTTCATCGGAGTGCTTTAATCCTATAGTACTTTTACATTACCTTAAATTAATTTACGAACAAAATTTGAATAGATATTTAGATTCAAAGGGGCACTCATAAATGAAGCCATCCGCGAGTCGACTTTAGACAGGGAACTCGAGAGGCTAACAGAGCGTGCGCTTGAACCAGATCGGCAACCATCACTTAATAGTTAGGTTTTACAAAAAGCTTCACTTTATATTAAATTTAGAACCAAGTCTAATTGATCTATTGAAAAAGATTTTCGTTGTAAACCCGCTGGAGAGACCGTCGCCGGAACAATGCTTGGAACATCCATATCTCAGTCTAATGAATGTATTTTTTTACTTTATTTAATCAAAAACTAAAGTAGATATTGTTAAATTTCGAAGTTTAAATGATTTTCTCAAGAAACTCAGCTTAATTCCAGCAAAAACTCCCATTACAAGGTGTTCGCGAGAAAAACGATGAAGACAAAGAGGCGCTTGAGAAGTTTTTGGAGAAATTTTCGGATCATTACTTGATTGAACGATGAATATACGCTATTTTGTTTGTTGACTTTTCAATCATTCTTTTCTTTGATATTTGAACTTTCGGTTTCCACATAATTAAAGTAACAAACTGTTTAGAGTGTATCTCTTCGAAAAGTTAATCAATATTGTCACAGCTTTTTAAAGGAATTTTGTTTAAGCCTGACTAGGGAATGTTGTCGATTTAAGGCAGGCTTTTCGAACGAGACCAAACTTATCTGATAGAGGTTTTTACGCTGATTTCGAATCCGGTTTTAACTTTCCCGGAAGAGCTCTGTAACGCGAGATACTTGGGGTACAAAATTTCCGACTTCGGTGATCGAGCTGAGGTCAAAACCTGGTTACGCGACTTTTTTTGACAGCCAGCCAAAGAATTTCTGGGAGAAGGGAATCCGTGCTTTAGCAAATAAATGGCAACAAGTTATACTTAATAATGGGGAATACCTTGAATCAATTTGTTTCCTAGTTTTTGAAAAACTACAGTACAAACTTTTCCCGAGAACCTTCTTTCCAATTTAATCTAAATGATCGCGATCCTTGAAAGTCAACTTTTAGGCCAGAGTACCGCTTTAAAGCTCGACTTTTGTAAGAAAATGTGAAAGAAATGTGTTTTTGACGAGAACTTGTATCCAAAAGTGCTTTTCCAGTCGGTTGCCACCCAATATTCTAGTTTTTGATAGAAAAAAGCTTCAAATTCATATTTCACATCAAAATTCATTAGACGATAATCGTTCATTTCGTTTCATTTCGATAATCACTTTCTTTTTTTAATCGAGTTATTTAAATTATGAAATCTTCCCCCCCCCCCCCCCCTATGTTCGTGATATTCCCAACTTGCCTAGATATTCCAACCGTGATATTCCAACCTTGCCTAAAGCCGCAATTTTGGCAATTGATTTAACTGCCCTGTGATTCTTTCTTGAGATTACTCGATTAATTACTTACTCAGGAGGGATTACTCGTAGTTACTCGAACAAAAAACGCTGATTAATCGAGTAGAGATGGCTAATTACTTAGCAAATTACTTAGTAATCGAGTTATTTAAATTATGGAACCTTTTCCCCCCCTTATGTTCGTGATATTTCCACCATGCCTAGATTTAAAGTCGCGATTTCGGCGATTGATTTAACTGCTCTGTGATTCTTTCTTGAGGTATCTTTTTTTTAATTTTATCTTTTGGGTGTGCTTTGAGTGGTGTTCTGGGTGATTATTGTGATCTTTTTTCGTCACTATTCAACAAAATCTAAAGGAGCTATTTAAAAGCGGTCATAAGATTTAAATTCTGCGAAAGATTGGCTATCTTTTGGCTATAAACACTTATGAAATCAATGAGTTCAATGAGATCTATGATGAGAAATTGGCTATTTAAAGGAAAACTTTTGAGGGCTTAGGAATGTTAGAAAAAACGAGGTCAATGATCTAGCTTCACCCATAAGTGATCTTTACGGCTTTGTAATACTTTCTAAAGTATTTCATGCTGACCAAATATTTATCGTTGGGACAGCGATGCAAATGGAATTTGATGTTTGGCTTCTTGGTTTTTCTGATTTTTCGGAATAAAGCATATAAACATTTGTTCTCCAAAATGTGAATTTGTTCTTACAAATTCGGCTTCAAATTTCGGGTATTCACCTTTGAAATACTTCAAAAGAGATCGAATTTTTTCGTGATCTTTGGGAAACTTTTTGAGTTTTGTCAGCATTTTCAAATTCTTTAAATTTCGTTTTTAAATGTTTACCGATGTTTAAGAAATGCAGCCGGTTTGCTTGGAAACTTGTTTTCAATGAAATTCTTTTGCCAGACCCGAAAACTCATTGTAGTCCTTTGAGAAAAGCATCACCAAATTTGCATTCGATTTTGAGAAAATTTCCAAATTTTTGGTTTTTGATTTTTGATTTGTCGACAAAGTTTTACAGCTCATCAACCCATGAGAAAACAACAAATTTCCTTCGACAATTTCCTTGTCAGTGGTTTTTTTTAATCTCCGCCGAAAACTCGATACACAAAATATTTGATGCACTCGGAAAATTTCGTAGATGTAGGTAACTTCGAATTTCAGTGAACTTTTTGTAAAAGTTTAGCTCAATTTTTGCGATGATCGAATTTTGATTTAAGACTTCCCATGCACCGAAATGCTTCTTCGAAAACAGAATTCAAATTCGTTCATCCAATTAAACAATTTGACTCTTATTGATTTACTCTATTTGAAGCTTCGAAGCTTTCTAGCTCGGTTCTAGATTTACTCTATTCAAATCCTCCACAAGCTCACCGTCAGCTACATTTTCCGACCCCACATTGATAGCTTCTGCTAAGCGGTTCTCGAAATTTCGAATTTAGGCGACGCTCAGGGTGCACTAATATTAGAGAAAATACGGTATTCACGTTAATTTTGTATAACTTTTGACTCTCATAAACTCTCACGCTGACCTGATTAGCTGAGCTAAGCTAAACGAAATTTAAAGAGGTTGAGCTAAGCCCTCAGCCCTTCAAATTTACAGTTGACTCTCTCTAGAACGGAACTCTATATATAGGAAAACTCTAACGGAATTGAATATTGGTTCCGACCGACGCTAAGATAGATATGAATATAAATAAAACGGTGTGAATATAAATGTGGTATAAATAAAATTGCGGTGTGGCCACCACGCTATACGATTGCACGTCGCGAACCCGTTTCGATTACAAATGTTTAGTGCAATTGGGTGCCAATGCTTCAGGTGCCTTATTTCCCCTAATAGTAGTGCAGCCGAGTTGATGCCCATTCTACGATTTTCAAGCTTTCACAGAAACTGAACACTCAAATCCCCCACAAGGCCTCATCGTCAGCTACATTTTCCGACCCCACATTGATAGGTTCTGATAAGCGGTTCTCGAGATTTCGAGCAATTTAGACGACGATCAGGGTGCACTACTATTAGAGAAAATACGGTAATTGTTTTTTTCGGTAATTGAAATGATTGAACAATCGTCAATCAACGAAAAAAAAGCGCTTGAAACAAAAACTTTTTACCTTTTTTTAAACGGTAAAAGCAAAACTTTATTTTGCATTTAAAAGAAAACTTTTCCTCATCATTTTTCTTTTTTTTCGTGACTGTTTTCGGAGAGTTAATTTCTTAAATAAACATATAAACCAAAAAATTTCTATTTGAATCATGTGTTAAGTATTCTCAAAAACTTTCAGCTATTTCTTTGCAATGACGATGCCCAGAAGGATTCAAATGTGCACGAACTTTGCTTTTTTCCGACTCTTGTCCTCGATGCTGTTCCTAAGAAAGTTGAAATGTGCAAAAATCGAGCTACTACACTCTTTGATAATAAAATTTGATCTTTTCAGCATTTCACAATTTCTCCTAAATAGGTAAAAATAAGTTAGAAATTGAAAAACGATTTATTCTGATTTAGCTAAATACGATTTTTTGTTGTGCTCCTGTTCGAACTTGTTTTAAAGGCGCCAACTTGGGAGACATCCACCGTTTTTTTGGACTGTTTCGGGTTTGAGGTAAAGACCATAAGGGTGAGCAAGCTGAAATGTGAGAAAGGCTTTCTTTGCAAACTTATAATCTTCTCAAAGCGCTGCAGCGTCTCTGAGCCTCAATTTATTTCGAAAAGACTTGAAAGACTTGCCTTGTTCCAAAGAAATTGCAAATATACCAAAGGAGTGTACACATAATAGACACACGCATTCCTCAAATTCAATCCAAAAAAACTGGAGGCGACTAAGTCAACTATTGGATTGACGAAATACCAAGCGATGTTCGATGCCGAGTTCAAAAGCATCTGAATTAGAGTGGGTTTCCCCTTGATTCATAGTTTGACAATAGGAAGGGGAATATGGTAGAAATTGGCTGAAGATCTCGAAAAGTAAAATGGAATCTGTTTCCTTTCTACCGTACTTGTTTCCTAATTTCCACTACTACTCCACATCCGCGAGATGCATCGATAAACATATATCGCAAGCAAAATCCACGGCGATTATATTTTTACTAATATTTCGCGCGGATGTGCACTCAAATCTCAACATTAAATATGGTGACCGAAATTTTTCCTCCGACTTAAAAGGAAACCACATATACTTATATACTTATACACTTACGGATTGACCCCAAAATTGGTGGGTTGGTAGAATCGACTCTGGGGAACAACATATTCAAAATTCGGCTGCAAAGCTCCAAGATTGCGGTAGTTATAACGATTATAAACATTTCGCTTTCTATCGTCTCTGCTCTAGCAAAAAAAGGATCTCAAAGGCGGACACGAACCCGAGACAAAGCTCTCCGCTTTGTAACTGAACGGACTACCACTACACCACCGTGCAATGGCTCCGTTGTGCTAACTGGCCCCAATATCGAGAAAGAGAAACCCGATTGTCGCCGAAATTTGTACCAAATAATAAAAACGCTATAACTACCGTAACCTTGGAGCTCTGTGGCTGAATTTTTAATGTTGTTCCCCACCAATTTTGGGGGCAATCGGCGTCCGTGAGTATATGTGGTTCCCTTGTTAGTTCTGAACCAAAATCAATTTCTAGCTCGGTCTGATTCGGCTTCTATTGAGATTCGGAACCGGAATCGGAACTAAAAATCCCTCTTGAATTGGTTTCAGACTTGGTTTAGTCCCGGTTCCATATTTCACTGAATACTTTATGATTATGGGGAGAATGCTAATTTCTCTTTGCATACTACCAAATTCTCCTGACACCTCACCTCGTACAAAAGCAATTCATAGACTCGAGAAGCTTTCCCATCTTTCAACAGCTAAAGAAATTTGAGGTTTTTAGTAGTACGTTGACTGAATGTTCTATAGATACAATAGTTTACTAGAGTGAGACCTTATACGTTTTCAATCTGGTGTAGACGTCGAGAGAGATCATCAGAATCGGCAGAAATTCTGCCTCAAAGCGGAAGAAAATCAAAAATTGATAGAATTCCCATTCGGGAAAAATATATAACCCAAATGCTCTGGTCACGGCTGCGAATGAATATGCGAATGCAATTTGAACCAC